ATATGACTATCAACAGATAATTTTCACTATTTCTGTCGAGAACTACGTGTGTCAGCAAAAAGACCACAAAGCCAGATTTCTATTTGAGCTAGATGCTTAGCACAGGCTGATGTTAGCTTGGTAATATTTGCTAATTGGTAATCTTTTCACTACAGACAGACAGACATGTCCACCTCATGGTGGCCTAGAAAAAAAAAAGTCAGGGGATCACAGGCTTCATCCTCTGGGGACCATCATTGTCTGCAATGGCAATCCATCTAATAGTTTTTGAGATATTTAAGCATGGACCAAAGTGGTGGACTGACCGAATGACCGGCCAGCATTGCCATCTTTAAAGACATGTTGCTAGCATGGCTGGAAATGTCATCACATGGTTGGTAGGACCAACAACTACATGCTGGCAAACAACCTCTGTCTACAGTTTACATGCACACCATGACTTTCTCTTGCCAGCTGTCTGTTTTCTTTATTTGTTTTTGGACTCTTCTGGGCTTCTTCTGCCATCCCCATTTCAAAAGACACAATCATATGAATTATGGATAATGTCCTCAAGCAAAGTCTTCTCGCAGAAAGCGTGAATAAAAGCTTGAAAAAGTCTGTGGGAGAGCCCTCACATGCATCCACTGTAGATTTTATGGTGGGGCAGCCCCGAGCTGTCGTGGACTTGAACTGTACATCAAAGTCTGCGAGTCTGTGACAGGAAGATTGGGCGAAAGAGACTTTGAGAGCAAGAAGGAAGGAGAGAGAGTTGTGGAAGTGGATAGGGTGCATCGAGGCAGTGACACACGCACATATGTGTGAGACTGATTAATTACAACGCCATTGATTTTACTGTCCAGAGTGATATTGACAAGTCATCCAAACGAAATAAAGGGTATTGGAAACATGACTTACGGTAAAGCTCATCAGACAGGCTGAATAGAGTTTACTACATTCAGACTTCCCAGGGGTGAGTATTTGCATTTAACCAATAGGTTTGTATACAATTCATGCATGGCAGTGTGTTTATCTCTGGGACAGGTAAAACTCAAACAGAATTTTTAAGAGTCAGAAAAGGGACAATGGCTTTAACGTGTCACTGCTGCACCAGACTGGACATGAATAGAGCAGCAGAACCTGCTCAGATATGACAAAGGGAAAGTGTTTAGATGAATTTAAGATTTCAATAAATAAGAATTGGTATTGGCTCTGGGACTTAGAAGTGCCCCTTTAACACTTCCCCTTGCAAAAAATAAAAAATAAAAAACCTCCACTCTTTTTACTTCATTTCACAAAATGGAGAGCATATGGAAGGGAACGTAGACAGATGCCAGAGTCTCTCTGCCAAATTATCTGATTGGTCAAACATGATTTCCAACATAATTAGGTGGATTATAGTTATATAGAGAGATGCTATGCCATGATAATTCCTACTTATGATAATGTATTATAGATAAAAATATATATCAGTTTAGCATAATGTTGGTTTTGCCTTGCAAGAGAGTATTTTCTGTACTCATGTAGATGATGGGAATGTCTTTTGATTGTAATAGCTTTCCACCTTAATCTAGCTCCCATTATCAAAGTGCAGAGCACATACAATAAGGAGCTTTATCTGTCTATATGCTCCTATTTGACTTTACAATCTATTCATATTCAAGGGATCA